GTGGGGGAGGGGGCCAGGGATTATAAAACAAACAGCAGTAACAAGTAGGAAAAAAATATTCTGGCTCTAAGGGAAGTCACCTGGCAAGGCTTTTAGAAACTCAAGCAAAAGCTACTGGAAAAAGTTTAGCTGCGTAGGACTCAACTAGGTCTTGATCAGCTTTCAAAAATCCATTTTCCCTTACACCCTACAGTGCTGAGTTTCTGCAGCTCTCCAGTAATGGCTCAAAGAGAAGAGCAGGCACTTAAGCATTTTAATGGTGTTCCTTGAAGAGCAGGAAACTAGGCTAAAAGGCAGCAGAGGGAGGATAAAAAGCTAACCTCCTATACCTTGCTTGCCTATCTACGCTACATAAGCTAGTTGAAATGCTTGAATCTCACTGCTGCTTCTGCAATATCTGGTGAAGTATCACAGGCTGTGCTAGGTGCTCCGTCCCTTGCAAATGATGGCAGGATATTGCACTTGTCTCCTTTAGAGCACCACCATCACTGACTTCTTGAACTTTTTACTTTCCCTTTTGGGGCATAGGAATGGGCATTTGATCCTCTGGGAGATGGAGGGTTCAAACTGATGCAAGGCTAGAGGGAAATGGCAGGATAATAAAGTTGAATAGAAATTAAAGGGGAAAAAATAATCAAATTAAAGGGTTTCTGTCCCCAAAGGAACTGCTGATTTTCCATCCGCTCACACCAAATCTGCTTAAATGTTTCATAGATGCTCAGGTTTGAAATTAAACCCTTCCAAAATTGTTTGCTGTGTAGGGCATTTGTGCCCCTCAGTTTCAGACTGGAAGTTTTAATATGTCAACCTTTTCGTTGCTAATTCCCACCTCCTTTGAAAAAGAAATCTTGCTCTGTTGTGTTTGAACGCACTCCAGCAGTTGAGTCACAGGCTTACAGAAGTTTAAAGACTTGCCTCCCCTACGTCGGCACGTGTCTGTGCTCTGACCACACACAATATTAGAAAGCTCACGCAACAGGGTCATGCTGCGTCCACACTACCACGTGCAAGGGGAACACATTACAGCGCCCTGCCCTTCCAGCGTCTGGCAGGTGTCACAGCACAGTCTGAATGGGCAAGGCAGCGCGAGGTGACACCTTAGCACATGGGCGGACAGGCAATACCACTACCTTGAACACACTTGTATGCTGGCAAAATTAAATCTGATGAAGAAAGAACTGTTGATTTTAAACCACCACGGATTAAGAGGTGCAGCAGAAGGCAGAAATAAAATCAGCCTATACGCTTCATGAAGTTATGAAGCAACAAAGTCCTCCTGCTTTAACTGTACCAGAAGGAGAGAGGGAAAAATTCAAAATCAGCCAAAAACATTCAGCTGCTAGCGAACTCCATCCATTTCACCAGACAGTAGATTCAAGTTAAAATGAAAGTTCAACCGATTGATCACTAAAGACCTCTCCACCCCAGCCTCCTCCCACGGAGCATGAGAAAGGTGCTGTCAGAAGATCACTCAGCAAGAATATTTAAAAAAAACAATTCTATATATCAGAAATAGTCCAAAACAGGTATGGGATTTTTAGAGGTGTTGGTGGCAGAAATTAATCATCCAGACAACCAGACTGGACCAGCAGAAACTTGCAATTAAAATGTTCTACTTGTCTAGCAACTGAATCAAATCAGCCAGACAGCTACTACTAAGACAGATGCACGCGTGCGCACATGCTCTTCTGAGTTTGCAACTGCAGAAAACTTTTAAAAAGGTTCAAATTCAGCCTTCCATTTCAAGTCTGGGGTAATGTTTAAAATTTAACAGTTTTTAAACACAAAACTATTCATGAGATGAATTTTTTTAAAAGCCAATCTTGTTTTCTAGAAATACATTTTTAAGGGCTGCCTAATAAAAACAGAGAAATCTTTCCTGATTCAACCACAGAGGCAGACTCTGAACTAAATTATGCAGTGATGCTTTACTTGAGAGGTAGCTCAAATATTTGGAGATGACAAAAGCAAGTATCAAGGTTTCAGTCGATCCCTGACCAACAAGAAGCCTGAGTGTGCCCAAGCAAAAAAGCTAACTTGGCTTTCCCACTCCAAACTGAACTTTTTCCCCACCACCCCCACAAAATGGCAAGTGGCAAAAAACAAACCCCAGCCCTTTCAACACTCGATGAAAAGCAAACATTAAGCTCCGCAGAGCTGTTGGTATAATCTCAAACTCAAATGATTTCTTCCACACATGCAAAGCATTTTAGAGAAAGAAACTGGTTGGGTTGCCTGGGAGGCCACTAATTTAAGGATCCTCAGGATAAACGTAGAAAAATCTGATTCAGACTTGGGGCCAGGGGGTAGTATAATGCGTATGGCTTGTGGTACAATGGGGAGCGGGGGGAGAGATGAACGTTACATGACACTTGACTTGAAGGCTTGTACCTACCTATTCTCACAGCCTTGATGATTGAGAAGAAGAAATGAAGTTCCTCAAGATACCAGTACCCCAAGGGAGGCTGTAAACAATTGAGGAGGATGAACACAAAGGAGGGCCATGCACGTGATTAGAGGTCTGGAGAGCAGGTCAT